ATATCCGATATGTCGTTTACAAATATCTTCTGCCATTCCATTGGTTGCCTTTTAGTTTTGCTGATTGTTTGCTTCGCTGTGCAGCAGCTTTTTATTTTGATGAGGTCCCAGTAGTTCATTTTTGCTTTTGTTTCCCTTGCCTCTGGAGACGTGTTGAGTAAGAAGTTGCTGTGGGCAAGATCAAAGAGGTTTTTGCCTGCTTTCTCCTCGGACATTTTGATGGCTTCCCGTCTTACATTTAGGTCTTTCCTCCATTTTGAGTTTATTTTTGTGTATGGTGTAAGAAAGTGGTCCAGGTTCACTTTTCTGCATACTGCTGTCCAGTTTTCCCAGCCCCACTTGCTGAAGAAACTGTCTTTATTCCACTGGATAGTCTTTCCTGCTTTGTCAAAGATCAGTTGGCCATACGTTTGTGGGTCCATTTCTGGGTTCTCTATTCTGTTCCATTGATCTGAGTGTCTGTTGTTTGTGCCAATTACAACTTTTTTTAAAGGGGCATCTTAGCAAGTGTTTATCGGTAGGGACCCTGGAGCCAAACTGCCTGTGTTTGAACCTGTCACTGCCACTCACCAACAGGGTGATCTCTGGCAGGTCACTTAACCTTTCTTTCTGTGCCTTAGTTTGCTGGTCTGTAAAATAAGGATAAAAATAGCACCTACTTCACTGGATTGTTGAAAGATTATAGATGAGTCAGTATGTATAAGGCACTTAGAAAAGAACTTGGCAGGGAGTGGGAGCCAAGTGTTTGCTTTTATTGCCAATAGCTGTGAACATTTATTTGCACAGCTGGGTGGCGGTGAGTGACTGTTTTGTGAGGGTCACCAGACGCTAATACTGAGCAGAACTGCTGTTTACGCTCAATCTGGCTGACTCATTACTGCCTCCTCGAGGCCCCACATGGCTCCCAGCGCCGCTTCCCATGTCTCCCCTCACGGCCAGGAGGGAGCCTCTGTGCCGCTCCTCTCTTCTCCCCGTGTCGTCCATCCCGGTCAGGGCCCGTTCCCGTAAGAGCAGCACACCTGTCTCGGAACATTTTGAGGCCGTTGCACATTTTGTTTTGTTTTGACCTTTTTTTCAAAACCCTTTCTCCAAGCCAAGCCTGGGCAGTTCGCAAACATCTCTCTTCATCACCTCATTTGATCCCTTTTTCAACCCGGAAAGGCCCACATCACCTCCAATTTGCAGAAAAGGAGACTGGAGGCCCAGGAGGAGCAGCCGCCTGTCTGAGGCCGTGAGCATGCGGTGGCCGCAGACCTTGAGGACATGGTCCCCGCTGGTGGCGATCCAGGCACCGAGCTGTTGCCCGCTGCTTCCGGAACGCACGCCTCCCCAGCCTGTGGTCACTGGGCAGTGGCTCTGAGAGCCCCGGGGCCTGTCTGTTCTTTTTTAATTTTTATCTTTCTTATTATGTTGATATATTTATTTTTTGAGAGAGAGAGAGAGAGAGAGAGAGCAAGCCGGGGAGGGGCAGAGAGAGAGAGAGAGAGAGAGAGAGAGAGAGAAGAGAAATCCCAAGTAGGCTGCATGCTATCAGCACACAGCCTGGTGTGGGGCTCAAACCCACCAACCATGAGCTCATGACCTGAGCCAAAACCAAGAGTCAGATGCTTAAATGACCGAGCCATCCAGGCACCCCAGGGGCCTGTCTGCTCTTAGCATGGTTCTTAGAACCCAGGAAGCAAAAAAGTGTGAACAGCTATGCCCAGCTACGTCCCTGGGACCTGGGCGCCTGTGTATTAGATGTCAGCATGATGTTTTGGTGATCGGGGTCAGTGAAAGCTCAGTCAGTGACTTCTCCACTTGATGGGGTGGGGCTGGGGCCCAGAGCTCCTTCTTGTCACTTTTTTTCTAAATGCAAGTTGGATCCGCAAAATTGCCTTGTGTCTCAAACTATTAAATACTGTTAAAAATACCAAGACCTCATTACAGAAAAGAAATGACAAAAAACCATTACTCTTGTATTTTTAAATTATAAACATGAAGAAAGGGGACATAATTGGTAAAACCGCTCACCCAGTAGAAGGAAAACGAACTTGATAGCAAATGAGCGTTCTTAACGATTAACATTATTAGTGAATGTCATACCTGGCATGTCACTGGCGGTACTGGGTGCTCAGTACCTGTTTACAGACCTGGCGAATGGACAACCTGAGTAACAGTGCTTGTTTCTTTAGTTTATACTCTGTGCCGGGCATAGTGCAAGGGGCTTTACCTTATTAATCCTCCTGGCAAGCCTGCGAGGGAGGTGCCGTTCTCCCCAATTTTACAGAGGCTCAGAGAGGTCACGTGTCTTGCCTCAGGCCACGGAGGGAGTGGGAGTGGAGTTCAGAGTCAAAGCAGTTAGATAATTTCTGGGCCCAGCGCCTAAACAGCAGGTCACCGGGCCCCGAGGTTCCAGAACCGTTGTGCCCGTTGCTGTGACCGACGCCCTGGCTCACGAGGCCCCCTGGAACTGCCCACCTGCCTCCTTCCTCCCTCCCCCCGCAGTCTGCGCTCCTCGGACCACCGGCAGGTTAACAACCTGATGCAGACAGAGGAGTGCCCGTCCGCGCTGGAGGCCACGCAGCAGCAGCAGGTGGCGCCCTGCGGGGGCCGGGCCTTCGACAATGAGCACGATGGCGTCGCCTACAGCTACTCTTTCTTCCACTTCTGCCTGGTGCTCGCGTCCCTGCACATAATGATGACGCTCACCAACTGGTACAGGTGCGTGCAGCCTGGCCGCGCACGGATGGAACCCGCCGTGCCAGGATGTGTGGGGCACGCGTGTCCTCTCCTCTGGCCCCTCCCTGGGTTCTTCCTGATGCTCAAGGCTTGGGTGATGTCCAGGACCCTCCACAGAGCCTGCCCGTCCGTGCCCCAGCTTCCCTGCTCGGCAGCTGGCACCTTCACTAAGCCCCCGAGAAGGAGGCGACCGCGGGCTTGTGCAGGGCACAAGGGGGTGTACAGATCACGGGTGGTGATTTGCATTCTGAGGTCAGAGTTGGGATTCACGGCGGGAGGGTTAGGATTTAGGGTGTGGGGTTAGAATCAAAGTCACAGGGTCAAGAGTAAGAGTCATGAGGTCAAGGGTTGGGATTGGGCACACACAAAGTCACAGATTTGGCCATTGGGTTAAAATTGGGGCTAGCAGGCCGTAAAGCCAGGATTGAAGTTTCCAGGTCAAGGAGCTACGATTTAAGAGTCAAGGGGCAGATTTAAGGTCAGAGATATCAGAACTTGGTCATAAGACCAGGGGCCAGGGATGGAGTTACAGGATTGAGGGTCAGAGGCCAGGTTGGAGGTCAGGACTGGAGCTCCAGGGTCCCCAAGTGAGGTTATAACATAGTCTAGGACGGGGTCAGTGTTGAAATTGAGGTCAGGGTCAGATCGGTGGTATTTGTCGAAAGCTACATCTGGGGTCAAAGACATAGCTAAGGCCAGGTGTCAAACCTATCAAGAGAGGGGGGCTAGGGTTGCAGAGTCAGAGCCAGAGTCGAGGTCAGAGGTCGCACCGGGGTCGTAAGGGCAGGGCCAGATCTGCGGTCACGGCGCCGGGGGCCCGGCTCACTGGGATCATGGTGTGTCGCAGACCCGGCGAGGCCCGGAAGATGATCAGCACGTGGACGGCCGTGTGGGTGAAGATCTGTGCCAGCTGGGCGGGGTTGCTCCTCTACCTGTGGACCCTGGTGGCCCCCCTCCTCCTGCCGAACCGAGACTTCAGCTGAGGCGGCCCCCTGCAGCCAGCCCGCTCAGAGTCTCCGGGCTCAGTGAGTCTGCCACGCTGAGCCCCTACCCCTACCCCCCTCCAGGACTCGCCTCTGAGCTGGGCCCCCTGTTCTTAGTGCCTTCAGGGATGAGATCCAGACCACAGAGCTGCCTCTTCCTTACCTTTGTCCCCTGTCACCTGTACTTCCCCTCTTGGGAAAAAAAGGGCCCCTTATGCTCAGGCTCCCCAGGAGAGGGTCCTGAAGGAGAGAACCACTCAGAGCCACTCGGAGAGTGGGAGCACTCCCCACGATGGGGTGCCCAGCACTGAGGCCTGGATATTCCTGACCACGTCCCCCAGGGCACCCCGCCCCCTTCCCGGACTCCGTGCCTTACCGGGTCTCCAAGACTTTATGCAATAAACAAGCCAGTGCACGTGCCTCCCCCTGTTCTGTGCCCCTCACCCTGGGTGCGGCCCCCATGCCATCTGGGGCCAGTGTGGGGGTGGACACAGAATGTCAGAGCTGAGGGGGTCAGAGGAGGGACCTGGGCTCTGTTCTGTAGGTCGTGGGGAGCCTTGGGGTGGAGGCGGGGCAGGCTACTGGAGAAGGAGAGGCTTTTCAAAAAGGAAGTCGGGGCCAGGAAAGGGCCTGGAACAGTGTCTGCACGAGGGGTGGTGAGGCCAGAGTCAGGCTGGAGAGGGGAGTTTGTGCAGGGCGGCTGAGGAGGCCATCTTTGGTGTCCTACCAGTGCCAGCCCTGAGCCCCTGCCCACCTCTGGCTCCTTCCTGCTGTAGCCGTAGTCCTTGCCACCTGCTTTGGGTCAGGTGCCCTAGGGAACGCGGAGAAGAATCTGACCCATCACCCAGACCCAGTGTGCTGTGGAGAAGAGCGTGCACTTGAGTCAGCCAAGCTGGCTTGGACCCAGTGAACCTTGGAAGCCGTGGGGCTTCTGTGGGACTCCAGGCAAGTCTTTCCCCTCTGGGCCCTGGCTCTTCATCCATCAGCCGGGAAAACGCCACCCACTCCCAAGCTGTTGGGAGGCACGGATGAAGCAGCCTCCGTGACGTGCCTGGCAGGTGCTCAAAGAGTACGATCAGTTCCCATCTCCGAAGGTGCACGGTGATGCCGGGAGGGAGAGGGGCTACAGACAGGTTCCTGGTTCGGCCCCAGGGCCTGGTGTGAGCCGACGACGACTGACCGTAGGCCAAGCATCACTTCCTTGTGTGGGTGTGACAGATCGGCATGGACGTGACTGGGTTTGCCGGGTGCTGGGGGTGCAGTGGCCAGGGACACGTCTTCCAGGGAGCTCCTGGAT